GATGTAGATGCCGACCAGTAGAACGTTGCGTCCACTGCCCCACCGGTACACCGCCGCCTCATGCGCGCTCTGCTTGAAGCCCATCTTCTTGAGTGTGGCATCGAGCTTCGTGTTCCAGGCGCGCGGTGCCTGGCGCAGGCCATAGAGTGCCTTGCGCAGGCGTTACACCTTCCCCTCTTCTCCAGCGATGGCGTAGCCAGGTGGCTAGCGCACGTAGACCTCCTCCTTGAGGTCGCCATTGAGGAAGGCGGACTTCATGTCCATGTGGTGGACTTGCCACCCCTCTTGGGCCGCCAGGGCGAGGAGGACACCGACTGACTCAATGCGTGCCACGGGGGCGAAGGCATAGTCGTAGTCGATCCCCTCCCGCTGAATGAAGCCATGCGCCACCAGCTGTGCCTTGTGCTTGATCACCGCGCCTAGCTCGTCCTTCTTGAGCTTGAACACCCACTTTAGGGTGATAGGGCGGGTCGGCAGTCAAAGGGCACCAGCTCCTGTGAGGTTCTCTCGCCGACAGACTTGAGCTCTTGCTCCATCGCCGCCCGCCACGTCGGATCACCCCAGCCTCAACAGATCTGGTCGACTCATCGACGTCGCGCCGATGAAGTCAAGGCGAAGAGCCTCTCGGGCTGGTCCAAAGAAGACTAGTCGCCGAGGATGCTTCCCACCCTACGGTATCGCAGAGGCTCATCGTCGTAGTAGACGCCCAGCGATATTCATCATCCTCTAGCGGCGTGGCGTACTGACCTCCGGCTGCCCCACGTGCACGGTGTCATAGCAAGCAAGGTAGAAGATGCCGAGGAGGTCATCCGGTATCTTTGGAGAGATCGGCCGCGATGATGTAGAGGTCAGAGAGGTCGGTTGCAGTGCTAGAGAGGTTGGAGCTGCTACCGATGTACTGCCGACCACCGCTGATGGGCTACTGAGCTCCCCCGGATTTGGTGAACGAGGCAGAGTTGGTGAAGAGGTCAGAGCTAGTGATGAAGACCCATACGTTGATGAAGATGCACCTTGTGCTTCCTCAACACCTCCAACCCACACATACTCGACGGTGAAGTCACGAAGCGCGGTCGCCGACCCGTCATCCACCGCCTTGTCCCATGCCCAGCCACGTCCTTCATCGAACACAACATCGCGTGCCACGTGCACGCGCTGTGTCGCCAGGTGAGCACGCGGTAGGCCTTAGCCCCTTCAGCGTAGCCAATGAAGACCCCCGACGAGCTATGATCGTCGAACTTGCTGACGTGGTTCAGCTCCTTGATGAAGGTGAGGCAAACCGAACATGCATAGGTAGTCGACCGCCGCCTTGCGCGCGCGCTGCCCCTCATACGGTCTTGCCATCGAGTGCACTAGTTAGAGAGCAGTTGAGCAAGTGTACGGTGGTCATCATAGCCTCTCTCTAGTAGACCGCTGGCATGTCAGGCTTGCTTGAGGAGGGCGCCGCCACCCGCCACCACCGCTCGACACGATGCTTGACCACACCGTTCTGCTGCGGTGAGTAGGGTGCGGAGTAGTGGCGTTGAATCCTCTTGTCGCATGAAGACGCCGCAAACTCACCGCCGTGAATTCACCGTCGTTGTCGGTCATGGAGCACCCGGAGCTTGCGGCCGCATTCTTCTCTCACGGCTACCGGTGTGCTTGATGGCATCCACAAATTCTTTGCCTTTGAATCAAGCAACACGGACCACATATAGCGGGTGGCGTCATCGACGAGCAGTAGGAAAGTAGCGCCGACCTCTAGGGATGGCCGGTGACACTAGACCGCAGAGGTCACCGTGCACCAGCTCGAGCTGCTCGGTGGCGCGGTAGGAGGCTTGACGCGGAAAGGGCCTACGCTTTAGCTTGGTCACCACATTGGTGTCGTAGAGTTGCTCGATGTGGTCGACATAGGGCATGCCGCGGACCATCTCCTTCTTGCCGAGCCGCCTGTGGCTTCAAATGAAGGTGATCAAGCGCTTCGTGCTTAGCACCACGCCTCATCATCTCGGCCACAAGAAGACAGGGGTGTGCACCACCGTACATGGAACACATAAAGGTGGTTGCTTCCCTAGTTTACCTTGGCGAGAAGACAACGGCCTCTATCCCAGATACATAGCACGTCGTCCTCAATCTCCACCCGTGAGCCGTTCTCGTCCAGCTGTCCGATGCTGATGATGGAGTTCTTCGAGGCCGAGATGTAGTACACCCCGGTGAGAAGATGGTGCTCCCCCGTCTTGGCCTTGAAGATGACCGAGCCGACGCCCTTGATCTCGACGGCGGAGGCGTCATCGAACTTGGCGGAGCCCTTCACGTCGGAGTCTAAGTCAGAGAAGAACTCATGCCGACCCGTCATGTGATGTGTTGCACCAGTGTCGAGGTACCAGCCATTGATCTTGTCATCGGCAGCACCTTTGCTGAGGAAGACGTGGGCGCGTGGTTCATCGAGGTGGAGCTCAACGGAGCCAGCCGACCCAGAAAGGGGAAAGCTTGGACCTTTCACCCCCTCCCATGTGTCTTGCTACAGCTCGACTCACCCGTGCGCCAGGAACAGGGTGGCATCCTGCTCCTCTACTTACGCCACGTGAGCCTACCCACCGTGGCGAGGAGGAAGGCGGTAGTCCTTGGCCCAGTGGCCAGTCCTGCCACAGTTGTTGCAGGTGTCATCCCGGGTCACCTTAAGCTCGCCGGTGGCACCGCCATCACGCCGACCTAGCCTCGAGGTCCCTTCTCCTCCTTCTTGCCGCCTCATGGATGCCGGCGACGCTCCTTGGAGCCGGACGAACTGGATCCTCCCTCCTTGTCGAAGGCGCGCCATTGCTCCATCGTGTACAGCAGCTTGCCTCCGGTGGTGCCCTGCTCAGAGTTTGGCGCCTGCTCGCGGTCTTGCACGGCCTTGAGCCTCCCGGTGATGTCTTCGACGATGAGCTGCTCGAAGTCAAGGAGCGTCTCAATCGAATTGACGATCTGCGCGTACCTCTTTGGCATGCAACGGAGGAATTTCTCCACCGTGAGCTCCTCCATGAGGTCGGTGTCGCCGTTGCGCGCCATCTGCTCCATCAGATTGGTAAGACGAAGGGCAAAGTCCTCGACTTTCTCACTAGGTTGAAAGGCGAGGCCATCCCACTCCCCTCGGAGGCGCCGCAACGTCATTCGGCGCACACGGTCTCCGCCGATGCGTGCCACGGTGATCAATTCCCACGCCAGCTTTGTCGTAGCCTTGTTGGTGAGGGAGGCACAGAGCTCGGTGGGGACGGCGGCGCACAACGCCTCCAACACCCGGCGATCGTTGTCGTAGTCTACGCCGCCGACGTGAACCGCCTTCCACAGCCGCCAAGTCTGCAGCTTGACCTTCATCAGCAGGCTCCACTCATGGTAGTTTGACTTGGTGAGCATCGACCACGGCGTTCCTGCTCTGGAGTCGCGGTAGACCGTCTGCAGCACCGGGGAGCGGCCGCGCCGACCATGACGCCGCTCTGGTGACGGCGACTGGTGGCGGCGCCCGGTCGGGCTACACGATCCTCCAGCTGGCTTCGGTTCCCGCTCCATCTCGGCGCGCAGCGTTGCGGCCGCGGCTACCGCGGCTTGGGCCGGAGCCGCTGCCTCTGTGGCAGCAAGGCGCATCGCGCGATCGTCGGCTCTGGCACTCGCGGTGGCGCGCGCTCTCGCGATCTGGCTGGCGGTGGACATGGCGCTCGCTCACTCAAGAACCCTCTTGGCTCCGATACCATATTGTTAGCCTGATTGGATCTTAGATTCGGATTTGGAACTACCAGAGGGCAGCTGGGTCCTTGGCCGTTTGGATTGAATGGAAATGCAATGACCTGTTTTACGATGACACTCCCTTGCTCTTTATAGGCAAAGGGGACTCCCACTTGCTACAGCATATTCTAACTATTAAAGTGGATGCTGAGCATATTCTTAACCCTAGGCTTGGAAAGCCACGAAAACTAAAAATCAGCAAAAGTAAGATATAAATACTTTATGCACTAGGCTTATCTATCATTGTGGACCCTAGCTGTCAATTGCATTTTCTTTCGGTCAATCAAGTCTGCAAAAGGACACGAGAAAAGGTGAAGAGGTACTTGATTTGAGGACTCAACGCTCTCAAATAATGGTCGTACGTAAGATGCATCTACTTGCATTGTTTTGTTAAATTGCTGATGAACTTTGTGCTACCGTACATGTGGCAGCTTGCACACAATATCAAATACGTGGCCAGTAGAGCTGGCGGCTCATGCACTATCCGTGACCTTTCTTTCCTGATCACGTTGCATTAAACCTTTTTCATTGTGCAGCACGTACTATTTCTGATGTGGGCACACCCTATTAAATAGAGTGGACAGCACAGAACTGGTGACTCACACGTACTGTCCGTGATCTACTTCAGTTTCTGATGAAGAGGCAGTACATTCTTAAAGTGGCATGTCAGTTCTAGTAAGCCCATGTGATGTTTCCTCTTGGCATGGATGTAATTAACTAGTTAAGCATGCGTCTAAGAATATTTTAAGCTAGAACTTGTTTGCCTAATTACATGATTATTACATTTGGAATTACAATTATATTTAATCACTGTACAATGCTACCGTGTATGATTGAAAAATTGCAATAATCATGTTCCCATCAAAATATGCAACTGCAAAGGCTTTTACTACAGTACTTTTTCGTGTTTGACTGAACAGCTTTTAGTATTCCACATCTTGTTAGCATTATTGTCGAAATGTATAGTACAGCCTTCAAAGTAGTGGATGTGCCTTCGATGTTATTTTCACTTTTGCTCACTGTACTTATTAGTATACCACGAACTACCAATATCCTTTTCCATACTTCGTGTATGTCTGTTAATTAATTAAGTGCTATAAATACCTTTCAGATATGATGCAGATATATATCTAGGAAGCCTCATATTATAGTAAAATACCCAAGAAGTTACAAGGCCGACAGAAGTACTGCAAATAAGACTGGAACTGACAAGCCATACAAAATAACGAAAGAACAGCAAGGCCATACGTGCTTATAGCAGATTACAGATGAAGCGAGGTATCGACATCTACATCAGCCCTATAGCCTGAATTCTGCATTCCTCCCCATGAGCTCGCCGGTGGCGGCGACGTCTGGACACCGTTGGCGCCAAGCCCATGGTACGCGGGTCCGCGCAGCGGCCTAGACGGCCGGATCAAGTCCGGGTGCAAGAACCACCTCGGCTGCTCGTTGCTGTTGGCGGTTTGGAGACCAAGGTTGAGAGCCGACGACAGGGACGACGACGAACCGGTGCGGTCGGTATCAGTAGTGTGCACCCTCTGCAACGCCCTTCCTTCTCTCATCTCCTTCACCTTCTGCAGGTTTCTGAACCTCTCTTGAAGGAGAGCTATGGAAGATGTGTGGATGATGGAAGGGGAGGCCTCGCTGCCGCTGTGCCTTCTCATTGGAGAATGGAGAGGTTAGCACGTGTTTGGTGCAAGGCACTACTAGCAGGGGCTAGCTATTAGCAGCTTCTTCGCTTGCCAGCTGCTGTTGGGTAGACTGATGTGAAGGGCCGGGGTTGTATGTTGGTGTGTCGATCTATCTGTTTGGAGCTAGCAAGCAGGTAACCGCGAAGGGCTGATCAAGGTGCGTGGCTGATCTGAGCTGAGATGGGGGGTATATATAAGGGGGAAGGGCGTGGTGTCCTCTTGTTGCACTTACGCACTCACACACTGATTGCATGTGTTTCTGTGCCAACTCCAATGGATCCAATCCAGGCCACTTTATTGGCATAGCAATTTGCAGTGGAGAAGGAAAGGGAATCAGGGTGAGGCATGGAAAGTCCAAGGGGGAAATGGCCTCGCGGGGTAGGGTGGAGGAGAGTGGTGTAGTGTAGTAGGGGGTTTGGTGATTGGATGTGAAGGCTGAGGCGCCACTTTTAAAAGGTGGCTGCGTAAGGGCGGGGAGGTAGTACAAACCAGCGTGGAGGCTAGCGCTTGGCGCGAGATCGTGGATGGGAATATGGGCCATATAGGATTTTGCGATGGTCTTTGTCCTCTAACTCTTGCCATGGAAGCCAGTGGGGGCCTTGAAACCTTTTATTTTTCAAGGGGTTGCTGGCTCTCCTTGTCCGAGTCCTCCTTGTTCCTCAATGTTTATCTTTGCCTTGTTTGATGTCATGGATTGGGACAGGAGCACCCCCAAGGCGGTGAACCGTTCCAACTCCGGTTCTTTGTTTAACCCCGGGGGGTTTTGGTGGGGCGTGTAGGGGTTGAGAGTCACTTTGATGCTTTCTGTTGTTTGGTTGCAGGGGTTCTAGTGTCCGGGCGAAGCATGGTTTAGTGCTTCAACCAATCGACCAGCCAGATGAAGCGTTAAGGTTGGCTTAAACAACACTACCGCCTCTGATTCATGGATTCTGTTTTTTACTCGGAACAGTTGGACGACGACTGTACTGTTGGAGCAAGTCGAGGCTTTTCGGTGAGTAGGTTTAACACTTTATTAACCTGATTATATATATTCTATGTATGGTACGGTGTTTTAAAAATGAGGTCAAGTATGCATGCAAGAGTCGTAGGCCCAAATCATCATATGTTATGCCAGACAGCCAGAGGGGGAAAACAAACACTACAGACTCTATGCATGATCTCTGTCCAGTGCTACCTGTAAGCATATCACGGTTTCCTATTGCAAAACTAGCTGGTTTAACTTTACCAGAGCACTAATAACCTGTGCTACGTGCCCTCTGGCCGTGTGGGCGCGGGCGTACATGTGTGTGCATGTGTGGATGTTTAGGCACTGCGCTGCGCGCTTGCTCCTTTTCACGCGTGTTTAGTTGCTACCTAAAATTCAAAAAAATGCTACAGTATCTATCACATCGATTCTTGCGATACGTGCATGGAGCATTAAATGTAGACGAAAAAAAACTAATTGCACAGTTTGGTTAGAAATTACGAGACGAACGTTTTGAGCCTAATTAGTCCATGATTGAACGTTATTTGCCAAATAAAAACGAACGTGCTACAGTTACCCAAATTCCCAAATTCAGAGAACTAAACACGCTCAAACGAAGGTTTGCGTCACTGTTTGTCAGAAAGGGACGTGTCATGTCATAACTTGCTGATCCATGCATCTCAATTATTATATATCTTGTCGTGGCTGCTGGTGGTTCTATGCATCGTCCATCGGTATTCCTTTTCATTTGTATAACCTAACCACACAAAATACAATTGTCAAGGTCGTAATCGATGACTGAGTTGATTATATTGACTGATCGAATCCCACGCAGGGGGTGCAAATCCAATCATCATATAATTTATATATACATGTGGCTGGTGTATCAGTTCAGTCGCTTCACTAGCTTGTGTAGCTAGCTAGCTAGCTAGCTTAAGCTTATTAGCTAGGTACTTGGTAATAGAGGCAGGATTAATCAGATTTGATATTGCATTTGATCCATAGTCAGATCAAGCTAGCTAGCGCAAACGATTCTGTGTGCATGCTGGTCACTGTGTTGATGGCCTGGGTGCCCCTGCCCTGCTTGTTTGGTGGTTGCGTTGCGTGCGTAGTATGTGTTGCACACAGCAGACCCAAGGCGATCGGGTAAGCCCTTGTTTAGTCGTAGGAATTTGGATTTTGGGGCTACTGTAGCACGTTCATTTTTATTTGGTAAATAGTGTTCAAATATGGACTAATTAGGTTCAAAACGTTCGTCTCGTAATTTCCCACCAAACTGTGTAATTAGTTTATCTTTTTGTCTACATTTAATGCTCCATGCACGGGCCGTAAACATTCGATGTGACAGGTACTGTAGCAACTTTTTGAAAATTGGGTGGAACTAAACACACCGTAAGTCCTGATGATAAGATGCTCATCAGGTCGTTGGTTTCGTCGACAGTATCATTGATCGTACCACCCTGGTTGATTGATTGAAACGAAACTACCTGAAACAACAAGACTAGTAGCTGTACTGTGGGGGTGATCATGAAATTCTCGGGTGAAATAATGCATGAATTCTGATGGCACCGTACGAATACTGCAAAGAAATTAGACACCCGATTGGGTATGGGTGCGTCCCTCCTTTGCTGTTCCAGTACTCTTGATCCCATGCCTTGCTAAAGTTTCCTTGCATTGGGAAAAATATGCCTCAGAACCTCACACGTCAGTTTTAATTTACTTGAGGGTAATGAGAAGGCTAAACCCAACGACGATACGGATGAGATGATGATCGGTGATGCGTAACAGTACCACTGCGCTTATCATGCTGTTGCACTGTGTCTAACAGGCCCACTCACTTCGTTCACAGTCACAGAGGGTGTCCCGGCCTGTCACCTGACACCTACTATCCTTCATGGCCCTTATGCTATGCCCATTAATCCCTCTCGGAGACAACCAATGAACCAACCACAAATTTCTTCCAAAAAATATACTTCGCCCCACAACTGATAGAAAATCCCCGTGGCCTCGTTGCTTGCCTGGAGGAAAATCCCCTGCCCTGCCGACCTGCATTTCCATATCCAAGCACAGCGTGCTGTTGTTCCACAGAAAAAGGTGACGCTGATGAGCCATCAGCGAGGCGGGCAGGGGATGGCACCGTCACTCAGGCATCCCCTCCGTGGGCAGGGCAATCATGCGTGCATTGCATTCGGCAGCGACTAGCGAGTGTCCGGTGTCCCCTCCGATCCAACCCGCGCAGGCGCAGCGACGATGGATCTCTGCTCCTCCTCCTTCCGGGGACCGGGGCGCCGGGACCGATCGAGGATGGGCGGTACACGCTACACGCCGCACGTACGCAGTACCATTACACTACTACAGGGCGGGCGCGCGAGGCAGGCGGCAGGCAGCAGGGAGCGAGGGGACTCATCATGCGGTCTGGCGACGAAGCTAACGGCCCCGGGCCGGGGGTTGCATCGTTTGGACGGGAATGGCGTGCGCTGAGACGCGAGACGCGAGAGCCGTGCTGCGCGACGACGGGTCGGTCGGGCACCCATCGGGGCGACGGCGACCCGCGCTGCACGCCTCCGGGGGGCGAGCTTTTGCGAGGCGTCGCCTTGCGCTTGGCGCGCAGCTGTTCCCTGCATATACGCTCCGCGCCGAGGCTGACGGGTCCCGGGTGGGCATCCCTGGCGCGTAGCGCCTAGCGCGCGGGCTGGCGCGGGAGGCGGGAGGCGGGAGGCGGGAGGGCGGGACGACGGGCGCCGCCGGGACCGGGAGGGCAGGGACCGTGGCAGAATCCTTTTGCGTGCGCAGCGTGCGTGGATCGCGCCCGGTGCGGTGCGGTCTCCTCCTACGTACTAGTACGATGGGGCTTTTGTATGGGCCATGCTATGGCGTCAGAGAAAGGTGGAGGAGCTAGCGCTTCCGATAGTCCCTGACGACTCGATCCATCTGGGGCTCAGCTGCCAAACACACGCCACAAGTATTTCTGTTGCAGTATAGTATGCGTACTATATACTAGTACATTAGTGTGCCGTCCTTTCTTGGCCAGAGTTTGCGCACGCCATGGCTAACGAGTCAGCAGCATGGGCGGACATGCTGGTGGTACTGGTACCGTAGCGGTGCCTCGGCTGTCAGGCTGCACGTGCAACTTCTCTCCGCTGTTCCACACGTCACCGGCGAGAGCTCGCCCAACCTACGCCCCACGCGGCCACGCCCTACGCCGGTCGATCGGCTCGGCTGTCTCCTTGGCCCCTCCCGTCAGCGGCGCAACCATTGAGCGGCTCAGCGCCTTCTCCTCCTTCGTACCCAAACGCTTAGCTTGACCTGGGTGGACAATGTGCCCATCTGTTGTACCTGTCAACAAAATGTATACTACTCCGCTACCTTCTTCCTTCTCAACACGCAACGAAGTAAACCGTCACCAGCACCGGGTTAATTAACTCCACTAATCATCAGTTCAATCTCCTGGTAACATGTGAATTTGGATTGGTTTTACCAAATTTTATAGGATCGGAGTCAGCTGACCCAAAATAAGTACATGTAACTCCGATCCTAACCAGTATGGTGTCTGACCTTGGCTTTGATTTGAGGGAGATGAGGGTTCATCTTTCATCAGTCTTCTTCATCATCACCATCTTCTTCTTCTTCTTTCAGTTGATTTGTGTGCAAAACTCTTTGTCTGGTCTGTAATAAAATTCCTTTTTCCTAAAAAAAAATCTCAGGACTCAACAACTAGCACTATTTAACACTTCGAAACAATTCAACAACAACAAAATAAGGGCCAGCCCAAAAGAGAGAAAACGCAGCCCATCGGGCAGGAGGTGGTCGGAGCATGATCCACTCCGAGGCTCCGACCCATCAGACAGCAACACCTCAGCGCTGCAATCTGCTCGAGCTAGATTGACTCCGCTAGCTATACCGGGCCGTGCAGAATTCGTTTGGGCCTCTATCCATCACGACTGGCGACGCCCATCCGCCCCTGTCTACCAGGCCCCTTTTCGAAACCCTTCTCCGGTCTGGGCCGCAC